ATATACAGATATTTTACCATTCATATAACATGTTCCTAACACATTTAAAGAAGATCCTTGGAAAAGGAAGAGGATAATATATGAAACTTTGCAATGTTTTCTTCAATTTTTCCAACTATATGTTGAAACTATTTCCTTTTAATCTACAAAGTTAATTCAGAAATAGACTCCCCGAAGTCTTAAATGTCATTTAGTGCCACTGTGACACAAAATCAACACATTATTCAGCATAAAGTGCAGTTGAACTTATTAGCTGGAAAAACACTAGTTGAGAAAACTTTTCATGAATGTCTGAAAGGCAAAATGCAGATATGATAGCTACATTTTTTTTTTCTGTTGGAACTTACAGGTATGTCATTTTGTATGTGTTTTATATTAATCACTCCTCTTGGAAACTAAGTCAGATAATCAAATCATAACATCCTTGAGGCTTTTCATAGTTGGTTTTCTTTGTTGAAGGACACAAAAGAATTCATTATTTACCGTATGTCACCCCCAATGTCATTTTCTCCAAAACAACTCTCCTTGCAAAGTACTATCACAAAGAGGATATTTTCAGCATTATATCCAGTCACAGGATGTAGAATGATTATTTCGCTGCCTACTCTTGCTATAAAGAATAAAGAAGCAATCCATAGTGAGTTTAAGTGTCTACTACAATTCACAGGGTAAGTTAAATATCTAACAAAGGGATTTACAACAGCTGCCATGGTATGGGGGTGGGATGTCCTGAGCTAGCCAGAACAAGCTATTGTGGAAGTGGGTGGGTTTCTTGTCTCACCTCTGCTGGGCCTCTCACTTGAATTGCACCTAGTCTCTGATGCTACATTTATCCCTCATAGGTTTCATAAACAAGATGTCTTTAAAAGTTCTACCATCTACTTCAGGTCAGTCTTTTCCAAAAAAATCCAGCTAAACAATGTAGCCCAGAAAGCCAACCAGATCCTAGGCTACATCAAAAGAAGTGTGGCCAGCAGGTCGAGAAAGGGGATTCTCCCCCTCTACTCTGCTCTGGGGAGACCCCACCTGGAGTACTGCATCCAGTTCTGGAGCCCCCAGTACAAGAGGGATGTGGACCTGCTGGAGTGTGTCCAGAGAAGGGCCACCAGAATGATCCGAGGGCTGGAGCAGCTCTCCTACGAGGACAGACTGAGAGAGTTGGGGCTGTTCAGTCTGGAGAAGAGCAGGCTCCGAGGTGACCTTATTGTGGCCTTCCAGTATCTTAGGGGGGCCTACAAGAAAGCTGGGGAGGGACTTTTTAGGCTATCGGGTAATGACAGGACCAGGGGGAATGGGGCAAAGCTGGCAGTGGGTAGATTCAGGCTGTATGTAAGGAAGAAATTCTTCACCATGAGAGTGGTGAGACCCTGGAATGGGTTGCCCAGGGAGGTGGTTGCGGCCCCATCCCTGGGGGTCTTTAAGGCCAGGCTGGCTGAGACTCTAGACAGCCTGATCTAGTGGGAAGTGTCCCTGCTCATGGCAGAGGGGTTGGAACTGGGGGATCCTTGTGGTCCCTTCCAACCCTGACAGATTCTGATCTGTTTTAGCAGAGGACTTAGTAGTGTTGGCTTGATGATCGTGGAGATCTCTTCCAACCTAAAGGATTCTGTGATTCTAAGCGACTGTTAACATGATCATACCAAGAGGCATGATGATTAGAACAGTCTCATGAGGTATAAGGTGTTCATTGATAATGTCTGACTTAGCACTAAGCTTTAAACATGGGTATCTTATTTCCTGTGTGAACATCAGAACAGATATAAAAAGGACCTCTGCCCATCTTCCTTACAGGAGATATTCACTTTGTATTAGCGATTTAAAATATTTATTCTGCCAGAGACACATTCAGTTATCTCCAGCTGATGTTTGGTGCACACAGGTAAGAGAGGAGTCTCAGTTCTTGCTCAATTAGTGTTTTGCTCTCTTCAGTGTGAGGTAGAGCCCACAAATCCATGTCCTGAGACTCCCTTCTAGATAAAGCTCCGTATCTGAGATAAGCAGAGGAACACCCAACTGATACATCCAGACAGAGCAGAATCCAGTGACAAAAGTGTGGGTGTCTGAGATACTTCACTATTGAAACGTAGGCATACTCTGTGTCATCTCTTACCTTACACTGCACATATATGTGCAAAATTTAAAAAGCAAAGCTAGTACTTACCTGCCAGGGGACTGTTATTTTCTGTCATTTCTGCTTTCAGAAAACATTTGAAGACACATTACACACACACACACACAAAAAAAAAAAAAGGCATAAAGATCATATAAAACACTTTTTACAGTAATAAAATATTTTGGAACTTACCGGCACTGAAATTTGAGGATTATTTTTGAGTTTTCCAAGCACAGCAAAGCCATCAATGCTGATTTTCCCTTTTGGTTTTGTGTTTAAGGATTCTATTTTAATGCAGTCAATAAAAAGTGTTATACTGTCTGCTTCCACACTTATCATAAGCTTGTGCCATTGGGAGTCAAACAAGAAAGGCAAATGCAAAAATGATGCAGTTTGGAGACTTCCATCTGCTCCTTTATAAGAAAACTCAACACTTTTAATTTGACCATTAAGATTCACTCCAACTTGCTCTTTTCCTGAAGAGTCTTGGATCTGCCAAATAGTCCAGTATTTCTGAAGTGTGGCTCCAGTCATCCGAAAAGTAGTTAGAAAGGAATATTCATCAGGCAATCCGTTGGAATATATGGCACTGTGTAGGATCAAAATACAGAACATTTCTTGTGTATTTGTTCTGAAAAGCTCCATGTATCAACACAGAGGAATCAAAAACAGTTACTCAGTGGAACCATATTTCAGCTATGCTTTTATCAGTGCTGTTCTGCATGCAGGGTCCCAAAATGGGATGTGCTTCTGTGTCTATAGTGTTGCCCTGGCAAAAGGAACTGGTTCAGAAATGTGGGTTCTTCCAACATTGCAAAGTATTTATGATAACCCTTTCTAAGTGTAACGCACGGACTAACAACAGACTCCTACTTCAGATTTAGAAAGTATATCCTACAATTTATTCTATTTTCTACTATTAGACTTAGAAAATCGGTCAACGCGGTGTGACCTTATAATTGACCAGGTAGATTCAGTGCAGATCTGGTTTGGTTTTGAAGACGTAAGAACGACTTTTGCAAATGCATTTTCTTGTTCAGCCTGACAAAAACCATTTTGTTAATGAATTAGCTATCACTTCAGCAGAAATCATCTGTCAAAAAATATAAGCATAGTGAGAACCCACACTAAAAATATATTGCATCCTGTAATATTCAATCGCAAGACTACAAGTAGCAGGCATTTGCCACATATAAAATGTTCAAATCCTTTGCAGTTCCTGTAACATGATAGTCAGAAACACAAACAAGTTCTGCTGTCTGTGTCACTGCAACATCATTTTTTTATCTCAAGTGTGTCAGGGAATCCAGCAGAATGTTTAAGAAATGTACCTTTTCATATTCTATGGATCGTAAAATTGTAGTGTCATAATCTGGTGGACAACAATACATTATCTGCCATCTGTCCACACCTAAGAGTAAGTTCTATTTGAATAATTTTTTAAAGTGTGGGGACATGCAGAGCTATTTTGTTACCAGCATGCATTAGAATGATTTCTCGGGCAAGGAGGCATTTGGAACAAAGATTATTTTTGAGTGTCAGATCCATTCTATCTCAGCAGCAATTTAGGCAGCATTCGTGAACCTCAGGCTCTAGGCTAAGGGGGAAAAAAAGCTGGGGAAAAAATGGAATAAATTCGTTCTTATTCTGTACGTTTGATGACTACTGATTTGGTAAAAAGGTAATTCCAGATAAAGTCCCCATAGTTTGGTGTTGAAGTGCCCAAGGCTGTAGTGCAATGTTACTCCAGCAGGCGACGGCACAGCCTCAGCGAGATTTCAGCGAGGACCAGGGCACGCCTGGCAGCAGCAGCTTCACCTTACTGACACGCTGCCCGAACTGCCGGTGTTTCTCCTGCCCCACGAGCCTGAAAGCCGGGGTACGAGGAAGGGGAATGTTTAGCTGGAAGATTATCGCATTACACAAGGCGTGGAGAGAGATAGCAAGATGGAAGAGGGGTTTCCTTGCCAATATTTTTAAACTGCCTGTGATTTACTATCGTTTGTGTCTCTGTTGACTGCGGATGCAGTAGTCCCAGCTGGTTTTGTTTGATAGGATTTTATCTAAGTTGTTGTGTTCTCATTGTTTTGTTTCAATTTGTATCTTGCCATCTCAAGTGCAAATGTCAATGCATGCACATTGTACCTTCCCTCCTCTTTTGGACACTTTCCAGTGTTTACTACTGTCCCCTATCCTTCCATGCATTAGCCTTCCAGCTTACACAACATGTTTATGTATTCTTTCCTGCTCTGGGGAGATGCTTCCTCTCCCTATCGACACACATTTGCTCTTACTAAGCTCCTGATCCAAAGCAGTACATCTTTTATGGTCCTCTGTGTCCTTCTTCCTCTATCATATCTTTTAAACAAGTATTTCCATCTCCTCTACTGCTAAAACCTTAGCTCATCTGAGTAATTTATCTCTTCAGTTGCTGAATCCCACTGTTTGTTCTTGCACAAGAGCTAGTTTTAGTACTACTATACTGAAGGTGGTATTGTTGGGTAATTTGTTAACTAGCCTCTGTGTGACATTCCACTTTCTCTACCAAGCTCAGTGACTCCAGGGGATCTGATATACTGAGCTCCACAGCTAAAGGAAGCAGCACTAATCCCAAATCCTCTGAGGAGAGGTTTTCATTCTTTCTCTGCACTGATAAATTTTGCTGTCATGACAAGCAAAACCATCACACACATTCTCACCCCACATCAACTGTCACAACTATAACACGGGAAAAACAAAACAAAACAAAACAAAACAAAACCAACCCAAACAAACAGAAAACCTAGTAAGTAAACATGGTTATATTTTTTGATTAGCAAACAAATGTGTTAACTTTTTTAAGTGACATATAAAGAAGAGAAGTTGTGTAAGAGCTTCTGACACTGGTAAGAGACAACTATATTGTAATGAACTTAAATAGAACAATAAAGATAAAAAGCCAGTACACAAACACAGGTAAATATTTACATTTTTTAAAACTGCAATAATCAGTCAGAAGTGCTGCCTTTAGACAAAAGACACGGTATCAGTAATGTGACACACCATAATGAAGCACAGAGCGATCCATGGCCAGAAAGGCACAACTCTGCCGGGGGCTCTTAGTGTGTATCATTTACACCTATAACTCCACAAGCAAAGCAAAGACAGATTCTCATCTCAGTTACTCCAACAGTAATGAAAAGCCAATTCCGTTTGCTTTAGTGGTTTCAGTGAATTTCAGTACACAGTTTTTCCCAAAGCCTGTTATCCTTGCATAGGCAAAACCTTACTGAAGCCAACAGCTTAAAATGCTTACCATTTGGAAACCATGGCAAATTTATGATATTCAAATAAACAATTATAGGCAAATTATTCCTCCATCTCACTGCAAAGTAAAGAGTGTTGGATTCTGTAATCTTGAACAGCTGATAACTATAGAAACACTTAAATAATTTACATTAATTTATTTTAACATACATGTTTCCAAATCCACTAATTTAAGGAAGGAAATCAAGCAATTTTAAGTTCAGAACTGGGCAAATCAGCAAAAGAAGAATTAATATCAAAAACATTTCAAGCACAAATTCAGTTCTGACCCATTTCCTATCCACTTAAAACTGCCAGGGATATACGTCATTGGGGTATTTTTTTAAAAATTTATTTCTATATCTTATGTTTGTAAAAGAGTGGTCTAGTCCTGCTTTCCTTGTGTACTCAGACTATTATTAACTGTTTTAATTGTATAATGAGTGCAAGGTCAGGTGAATATTTTATCAGATATTTGAATGTTTGCTTAATTTTCTTAAATACAGCTGAGAGGAGGGGAGTTTGAAGCATTTGTAGAAACATTCAGAACTCCAGAGTCACTACTGTTTTCATCTTTTTCATACATACCAAAAACTGTTACGAATCCTGTAGCTTGGCTGCTTACCAGAAAGATTTCCTTGAGATTTCAAGGATAAGTCCTACCAAGGCATCAATCTAACCAAGATAAGCCATCTGACTAGGTGGTGGAAGCTCTGAGTAGTCCTACTGACTCAGGAGTCATCAAGAGCTGCAGATTGGGTTAGAAGGTTAACTATGTACTAAACTGAATACTACATTGTAACTGCTTATTTTATTAAACCTATTTTTTTACCAGTTAATTTCTTAGGTGGGCTCCACTGCCCACTGAGATAACTTACTCCTTGCTAAACGAAGATTTGACAGATGTTAGTACAACCTGCTAGAGGTTGTTGTAGAAATTCCTTTCGCCAACTTCATGTTAATTCAGTATCATGTACCCACAGGTGGGGGTTCCTTTGCTAAAGCTGGAGACACTTGTGTCTGCATCTCCTGAAGCCTCCTAGAGTCCCAGCTGACCTGGCACTATCTGGCAGCCATCAAATAAGCAATAACAATAAAACCCAGCTAAGCAGTTTTTAAAAGCAACTGTCCTGAGTCATTACCCAGAAGTAATTTGTTAGGTCCCATTGCCCTCAGCTGGCCTGTATTCTTCAGAAACATCCAATTCTGAGCTAATTATTTCTCTTATTTCTCTAATTAGCTTCTTAACTGCATTTTGTCTTTTCCACTAGTGTCATCAGATAGTCAGTATCTATCACTTGTAATGCAAAAGAAAAAGCACCTAAAGAACTTTGGTGTCTGAATGTAGAAAAGTCAGACCTTCAGGCATATGCATTTGAAAAGAATTACTTCATTATTTTAACATACATGTTAAAATTATTCCCAAAAGCATTATTCCCAAAAGAAAAATGAAGAAATCAGCCTATGAAATTCTCTGGATGTTCCAAGCTAACTAATAAAGCTTTAGAAACTTCCTATTTTCGATTTATAATTAGTTATCATAATGTGTTTGGCATGTCACCTATTAAAGTGGTCAGCAGTACACTGCTACCCCAAGTATAAACAGACCTCAAAAGGCAGCTTCAATTTGTGCATTGCTCTGCTTCCTACTGAGATGAAGACACAGGCAAAGAGGCATCATTTCAAGATTCACAGGCTATCTTGATGCTACTCAATTCAATATGCCCAGGACTGTGATACTAAATTCACCTGGCATGAAAAAGTTTCAGCCTCCTTGCTTCCAAAAAATATGATGACTGTATGCAAGCTACATATTGGGAATGGCCCCTGGCCTATACTGGCTGCCAAGCTGTGCCCAGGAATTGTTTAAAGAGTGCTTGCTAATCAGTCTGGACCCAAACTATGCCAAGGTCTTGTATAATATTTTAACAGCCTAGATGATCAAGTGTGAATGCCGTGGAATGTTTCCTGGCATTAATCTATCTGTGTGGACACTGGGGTCTTGTGCTATGACTGCTGGATTAAGGATTACTAAGGATTAAGTTTTCACCCGATGCAGAAAGACAGCTAGCCCTTTCCCTGCCACCTAAAATCATCACAAAAATATTCCTTTATGCTAATATATGTTTTTAAAGCTTGTGATTAAAAATCAACACAATTATCTAAATTGCCAGTATTTATTTGTACTTACTAACAAGTGAACGGCTGCAACACGTATATAGATTAAATTGAAAAATGACAGGTTCACCATGTCAGAGACAATGGGTATGAGTCGTAGCTATTTCACAGGTCCTTCTCACACAAAGAACACTGTATTTTACACTAGAAGAAGCAATGGCCAACGGGAATTTATCTGGATGACAGGAGAAGCTTAAGCCAAGACTCGTGCACAATCATTTCTGTTCATTGTGGGATATACTTCTGGACCTAGGCAAGTGTGCTAAGCAGCAAAAAGATCAAGCTACAATTTTGTAGCATTTTAAGGAAGCTATATAAGCTTTTCAAGGCATGAGCTATTGCTACAGCATGGACTGAATAAATGTGCTGAGCCATTCCCATCCAACTGAGCTCTCATTCCTGTGCCATAGCCACGGTATCATGGGCTTGTCTGTGTATCATGATCATATGTAGTCTAAAAAAATATTTTACTATTCCTGACAAATACTGACTGAACAGTGATGGCAAGACAAGCCCTCTGTGCTGATAGGGTAATCAGCTTGCTCACCATCACTACACATGCGCCCACCTCTGAAATCCTTCCTCAAAAGCCCTGAAAGCCTCGTGCAATGGGCCTTCTCGGTGAGACCCCTCCCGATTTCCTAAGGCAAGAGAAGACACTGTCCATGCTTGTCGGGTTACCTGGTACTAATACTGCTGCTCAATAGCAAAGGTGCAAGAGGAGGTCTCCGCAGTGGAGCCACTCTATGAGGGTCCCTCACAGGTGCTCCCCAGCACCTTCAGGGGAGCGGCAGCACCCCGGGCACACAGCGCTGCTCAGCGTTTCCAGACTCGCTCTAGTCGTGCCTTGCCTTGCCTCCCCCGTCTCTGGGAGCATGAGCTCGCAGCTCCGGCGGCGGGTACCGGGGGGTCGTACTCGCTGCCTGCTGGCCCGGAGACAGCTCCGGCGGCCCCGCTCCCGGGGTCCCCTCGGCCTTTCAGCACTGCGGGCGCGGACAGCTCCGCGGGGTGGGGGCGCCTCGGCCAGGGCGCCGCTGACCTCACCAACACAACCCAACCCAACCCAACCCAACCCAAGCCAACACAACCTTCCCCTGTCCTCCCCACCCCCGTCCTCCCCAACCCAATCTTCCCCTACCTTCCCCTCCCCAACTCAATTCAACCCAACCTTCCCCAAATCAATCCTGCCCTCCCCTCCCTTGCCTGCAGCTGTGGGGTGCAGCTGCTGCCCACTAGCACCCTGGGAAATATTTCCATTATTGTTAAATACGCCATACGTGAATAAAGGAGT